CCCCAAAACCCCAAAACCCCAAAACCCCAAAACCCCTTAGGACTCTAAGATATTGACATTTGTCAAAAATCAATTAAACAGCAGAACCTCTTTCAAGATTGGCTTTGATTTCAGATGCATATTTGCTGAAATTTCTTTCAAGCTTCTTGTTGAATTTCTTATTCCTCTCATTAATGTAGTCAACATCCTTCTCTTCAACATTGAGTCTGGGTCTCTTGAACTGGGATCTTTTCTCTATAAGAATAATTTAGGGCAAACTTACCTTGCTGAGCTTCGATGTCATCAACTAACTTATCAAGTCTTTGCTTCTCTAGCTTCTTCTTATCTTCTTCAGTAAGCTTTTCATCATCAATTTCATCTGCTTGTAACTTATCCACTCTTTTTTCATAAGCTCTGTAGATTGCTTCATCATTGAAGGCGTCCCATCCGAATGTGATCTTCTTACGCTTTCTTCTCTTCTGTTTCTCAGTCTTGACAACAGTGTCTGTCAGGTACCTTTTGTCCTTGCTGAGTCCCTTCTTGTCAATTTCGTTCATATAATCTTCTTCTTGTTCCCTCCATTCTTTCTTCTTCCTGATTCTGTCAAACTGGGGGTTACTCTCACGGTCATTCTCCTCAATGACAGCTTGGTTGTTAAGTTTCCTAGCCTGGTTCATTTTGAGCTTTAACTCATAGAGTTTCTTCTCTTTCTCTGTTTTAAATTCTGGGTGATCTTGGCCTTCAAGAGCCTCATCGACTTCAACAACACCTTTGAGAGTCTGGCTTTCTTCCTGGACTTTCTTAAGCTCTTCGGCTTCTATCTCCTTCATCTTTTGAAGTCGTTTTCTCTCCTTTTTGCTGACCAAGGACTCGAGAATATCATTTTTCCCAATATTCTTGTTCTTATTGTTGACCTCTCCGCAATCGAAGATGTAGACTGGAATACGAGGCTTGTCGTTAATATCAGTGGGTACTTTAGCACATTCAAAAATAGCCTCCATCCCTTCAATCACTTGTCCAAACACTACGTGCTTACCATCAAGATGTGGGCAAGGTTTTAAGGTGATAAAGAACTGAGATGCATTAGTATCAGGTCCGCAGTTGGCCATACTTAGTAATCCTGCATGAGAATGCCTTCTTTCAAAACTCTCGTCATCAAAGTTCTTACCGTAGATAGATTCTCCTCCAGAGCCGTCACCATTCTCGATATCACCTCCTTGAATGACGAATCCATCGATGATCCTATGAAACCTGCTTCCTTTATAATGGAGTTTGCTTTTAGTTTCCTTGCCAATACCATTTTCTCCAGTGCAGAGAACTCTGAAGTTCTCTGAAGTGAGGGGAGTGTCTTTATACAGCTGTATAACGACTCTTCCCATAGACTTGCTTCCAATGTTAATGTCGAAGTAAACCTTAGTGTGCTTTTTCATCTTTACCTGGGTAGTGAAACTTCTAATTATATAAACCTTTCAAAAATTAGATTCATATATGGGGTTTTGGGGTTTTGGGGTTTTGGGGGTTTTGGGGTTTTGGGG